AGTAAACATAGAAAAGAAAAGTAGAAATAGAGTGTTCTTTTAAAACTGCCAGAGGCCATGTGCACTTGCTAGGGAGGGGGAGAGAGAGAAAAAGAGAGAAAACCTCCACCGTAAGTCATGGTCACACTGTCAACCCTCCTCCATTTCTCCTCCTTTTGGGATTTTGGGCATGCATACACATTCGTGGTGTGCTTTTCAAGCCACTGGGTCTGGGACTCAGTCAGCCTTGTGGGATGCAGCCACTGTAACCTCCATGCTACTGGCTGGCTCTAATTGACAGTTTTCAAGGAAGAGGCCATGGTATTCAGTCGGTAGCAGGATAAAGGAGGTAATTTAAAGATGTCACTGACATTTTATGCCTGAATAAGTTAAAACTTTAGTAGCATAGATAAAAAAAAAAAAACTTGAAATAGAAGCTAATTTAGCAAGAGAAAACATTAGGAAACAATTAAAGTTAACCAAATGAGAAAGCGAACACTATTTCTCCTCATTCTAAGTGGGTCTTATTTTTCTCATTCCAAGTAATGCTAATAATGTAAATATCTTATAGGTTACCAAAATTAAAAGCTTCAAAACCAAGAATGAAAAAGCTAATAAACAACATATTAAACAGCGTCTTTAGGAGTGGCCCTGTGTCCTGGTGTTTGGGGGACTGGAGTCCACGTATCCAACCATGCAATTCAATTCCTGGCTCTGTGACTTGAAAAACACACCGGGTGTGTGCCCAAAATCCTGAAAGGAGGGAGAAATGGAGAAGGGATTGCGCTCTGCCCAAACCTCATTGGGGTGTTTTCTGCTTCTCCCTCTCTCCCCATTCTCTTTCTTTCTGGCAATCAAAAGTGTCCTCTGGTGGGGGTGGGGGAGGGGGAGAAAGTGTTCTTGCATGTCAATCTTGTTTCTTTTAAGTACCTGCTTTTCTAAAACCTGATAAACTGGTATGGCATGCCATAAAAAACAAAACAATCCTTTTTTTTTTTTTTTTAAGATTTGCCAGTGGGTACAAGTGCTCACCAGAGACAGACAGAGACAGAAAGTGAGATAACACCCCCCCCCCCATGGTCACACTGCAATCCTATCTCCTCCATTTCTCCCTTCTTTCAAGATTTTAGGCACATAAACTGTTTTTCAAGATGCTGGATCTGGGACTCAAACCCCACAGTTGGCCATGTGGGATCTAGCCACTGGCTGACCCTAAAATAACTTCCTTGTGAATGCAGAATAACGATGTAATTTCAGTTATTTCTTCTTTTTTTTTTTTTTTTTTTTTTGGTTTAAGTTTTGCTTTAGGGTGCGTGCACTCGCCAGAGAGCTAGGAAAGTGAAAATCATCCCGTGGGGAATAGCCAAACTGACATCTCCTGCCTCCCAACCCCAGTCTCCTCTTGGGATTTTGCACTTGCAGACACATGCATCTGGCGTGCCTTTCAAACTCCTGGGTCTGGGACTTGAACCCCTCAGTTGGCCATGTGGGATCTAGCCACCGCAATCTCCCTGCCACCTGCTAGCCTGTCCTCTTATTTCTAAAACTATTCATGTATAGATGTTTTTCTTTTAAGTATCTATTTTTGTGTTCCAGAAATAACATCTTTTTTTGAGAGAAAGATTATTTTTTGCTATAAGGCATGTGTTCTCACTAGAGAGGCAGAGAGAGACAGAAAGTGAGAAGTCAACTCCCGGGGCATGGCCATGCCACAGTCCCTTCTCCTCCATTCTCCTCTTGGGATTTTTGGCATACCCGCCTGGCAAGTTTCAAGCTGCTGGGTCTGGAATTTGAACCACGATTGACCACATGGGAGTCCAGCACCATGATCACTATGCCACCTTCTGGCCCCCCAGAAATAACATCTTCATATATTTTTACACTGATAATGAATGATTATTTGCCAAGAGAGCCAAATATCTCAAATCTGTACTGCTTTGAAAAGGGTAGTGTTTCAAATGTAGTTACTTACAGAGAAGCTTCCCCTTACCGGCTCAATAGCACAGGCCCCCCAAGCGAGGTGACAACTCTGATGGCTGTTGCCATGCTGGTGATTAAATGCTCAACATGAACTTAAGGAAAAGTGCAAATGTGGCTTTGGTAAATTCCAGACAGTGCCCAAGTCAGCTTTTATTTGGAACGAATTGCTTCTGATATAATGAAAACACAGATTTCAAAAGCATATTTGAATGAATACAGGAGATTTCAAGAGCACAAATCATTCTGGATTGACAGATTAGCCATCCTATGTGCCTCAGTCAGATTAGAACTCCCCCTCAACACAGGTCTCCATTCCTCTTGTATTTACAGAACTGGTATTGGGATGGTCTCTTGAAATTAAGTCACATTTTTAAAATTTATTTATTTATTTATTTATTTATTATTTATAACAGAGATTTATTTGCTATATTTGCCCTCACTAGGGAGACAGAGAGACAGAAAAGTGAGAAATCACATCCCCAGCAGCTGGCCACACCACAATCCTTTCTCCTCCATTCTCCTCTCAGGATTTTTTGGGCATGCACACACATCAGCATGCGTTTAAGCTGCCAGCTCCAGGACTCAAACCATGGTTGACTACGTCGTAGTCCAGCAATGTAACCATTACACCATCCGCTGGCCCTGAGGTCATACTTTAAACCAACCTTCAACCTACCATCTGCTTTCCAGAGTCAACACAGTTTCACAGTTTTATGACCTTAGAGTGTGGACTTTTCAGAACAGAAGTCAAAAACAGAACACATAAACAGTTTCATCTTGGATAAGGTTAAGAAAAAAATAGAAGAGATGATAATGTAAATTACCTGTGTGGTGACCATCACTATCTTCAAAATCTGCAAACCCAGCTTCCATGGGATCTGGTGTCTGGCTCGGTATTTTTCACAGGGGTTCATGAAGTAAAATTTCAGGTCTTCCCTCAGACATTCTTCTTTCACCTCTGAATCAAGATGTGCCATCGCATTTCTGTCACAGAAGATCCATTTTGAAATACTCAGAGTAGTCTGTCTTTCAGAAAGCTCCAGAATAATACTTCATATTCTGTTGCTTTACCTATTTGTACAAACCAAATTGTCTCTTCAACCAGTGAGCTCCTTTCTTCTTCAGAAATCTGAGGACTACCGTGGACCCTTGGTCGCCTGCCTTTCCACACAGCCACTCATTCTTCCAAAACGGCCGTTCTCCAGATTATAAAAATAAACTTTTATTTGCAACACTGGTCAATTCCTGTACCTTAATATATAGCATTCACCTGTCACTGGAGTATTGTAAGGAAGTGGGTATGCTTGTGAGTGACCATGTGTCACACACAGAGAGTCTATATGAACAAACACGAGATGAGATAGTTTCATGATACCATAGGTATAAAATGATAGAAATTTAGTACAGACTAATGGAATTAAATTACTGTGGAAGTAGAGAATTCTTATTCTATAACTCTATACTGAGAGCAGGATTATAGCCTTTCTTTCTGGATAAAATATCATTGTTTACAAGGTTCTAGAATAAGACCAGCTCCATAGCTCAGTAGTTAACAGCTACGCTCTGGGAGCTGGATTCCGCAAGGCCCACAGCAGCTCGAGTCCTGACCTGGTGGTTTGAAAAACACTGGGCACATAAGAATGCATGCTCCATATCATGGAGAAAATGGGATGGAGAAATAGGGGGTAAAGGATGTGGCAGGACCGTGCCTCACGGGATGGGTGCTTCTTCTCTTTCTTTCTCCCCTTCCCTCTCTCTCTCTATGGTGAGCCCACGTGCCCTCTGACAACAACAACATAACAAAGATTCCAGGCTACAAATAGCTCTAAAAAGTTAAAATTGTATCTCTTGGTTACATCACTGGACTCCCATGTAGTTGACTGCGGTTTGAGTCCTGGACCTAGCAGCTCAAAACTCATGTTGGATGCATGTGTGTGCATGCCCCAAATCCCAAGAGGAGACTGGAGGAGAAGGGACTGCAGTGTGACCATTCCCCCTGGGGGTTGATTTCTCGCTTTCTCTGTCTCTGTCTCTCCAGTGAGTACATGCACCCTATAGCAACAACCTCTCAAAAAAAAAAAAAAAAAAAATCGTATCCCTCTATGCCAAGTCTGATATTAGTAAAATGTTACTTTGTATTAGTCAAATGTTGGTTTTACTATTAAAAGAGCTCTGGACTCAGAAATGAGCACATGACTCAAGTGAAGCCAATTAGACATGGTCACGGGACTGTGAGTGTAACTGAGGAGAGAGATGTGGTCTTTGCACCAAGAACTCCCCGAAATGGGATGTGCAAAACAATCCATTGGAGTATAGAAAATATTTATACTTCTGCTTTATTTTTTAATTTTAAAAAGTAAAAATTTAACCCTAATAATATATAAAGCATACACAAATATACATATAACTTAAAATATTATATAGTACACACAATATATGGTTGCATATAGAATGTGATTTATAAATAAATACACAGATATTGAGATTTTTTTTTTTTTTTAGGTTTTTGCCATAGGGCATGTGGGCTCACTGGAGAGAGATAGAGAAATCCCCCCCACCAGAGGGGATGGCCACACCATAATCCCTGTTCCTCCATCTTCCTCTGACTATTTTGGGCATGCACGCTCATGGGCCTGGGGTGATTCGCAAGCCACGGAGTCCAGGATTCAAGCTGTGGTCATCCATGTGGGAACCCAGTACCTTAACCATCATGCCACCTTGCAGGCCCCAGACTTTGCAAATATTATGCATAACTTTTTCTGTTGTGTACATAATCAACAAAGTTTAGAGACTGTAGACTTCAAGCATAACTGTGAGTCTGAAGTTCTTAGAAGCCATCTCACCACCAGAGATTGAAGCTAAAACAGAAGATCATGTAGGAGATAGTCACAAAGCCTAATTTAGTATTTGAGTTCCTGGATCCAGCTGTGCCTGAATCTATCCATCCCAAGGTTTCAACTTATGTTCATAAATGTCCTTTGGCTACTTAACCCAGTTTAAATTAGATTTCTGTTTCTTGCCTCAAAAGTATAATAGATTGATGGTAAATTTAATGAATAAATTCTAGCAAGTAGGTCCATTGTTTAAGTTATTCATTTCTTGTAAAGTTTTTATAATTGGAGGTCATTCTTGCGGATCTTTTTCCTGAAAATATCTAAATGTTATATTTTATGCTGACTTATGACCTTTGTTATCTACCTTGACAAGCAAGTGTTAAAGAAGACCAAAGAGAATGATCATTTTATAGCTTACACTCACTTTTCTATCTCTAAATTGGGTTTTAGATCTCTTGTTACCAGGATTAATGGGCTAGATTATTCAGAACTATCATGCTAAAAAAGGAAAGAAAGGGGCTGGCAGGTGGCATGATGGTTAAGGGCACTGGACTCCCATATAGCTGACTGTGGTTCGAGTCCTGGACCTAGTAGCTTGCTTTCTCTCTCTCTCTCTCTCTCTCTCTCTCTCTCTCTCACACACACACACACACACACACACACACACACACTCTGTCCTTCTCTGGTCAAATTAAAATAAATAAATAAAGTTAAATAAAATAATTCTTTAAAGAAAAAAGAAAAGAAAGGGAGGCAGGAACAAGTAAAGAAGGGAAAGTGAAAGAAGGGAAGGGCAGGAGGAAGGAAAAACATGAAGGAAAGAGAGAATGAAGGGAAGGAAGGAAAAAGAAAAATTCTGGGCAAAATAAATATTTCCTGAGAGGGCAGGGAAGTATCTTTAAAAGACTGAAAAGTTAAAAGAGGGCTGGAAGCTCCCAGGCCAATGTGGGGAATACCTGGACAAGCAAGAGTCAACTGTCACTCCTATTTAGGCTTTGTCTGGCCTCAGGAAAGGGGAACAAGGAGCCAAGACTTAAGCCCAATGACCCACCACAAGACTGACAGCAGACCGTACCCACATTTAAATTGGTGTCCCAAAGGGCTATTTCTCAGGAAAATGACCAGCATCTGACGCTACAAGGTTGTCCATGCCTGTAGTCCCAGCTACTCAGGAGGCTGAGGCAAGAGGATTATGAGTTTGAGACTAGCCTAGACAACATAGCCAGACCGTCTTTAAAAAAGTAAAAAGAAACAATGAAAGAAAATTGCCAGCACTGAAATTGCCTATCCCCAAGCTTATAGGACTACAGGGAAGAGAGAGTCCTTCCAATCAAAGAGAAGACAAAGGAAATCTAAAAATAGACCTATCATGAGAAATAATGGCCGTAACTTAGCCCTGTGAGCCTCAAATCTGGAAGGGCCAGGGGACATCAAACTGTGAACTTCTGGGGTCCCAGATTGGAACTGCCCTTTGTATTCCAGGAAACACACACAGACCTCTCCAGGGATTTCTCCCGGACTTGGGTTACACTGGCCCACTGTTTGCGGTCCTGTAGCTGAAATTACATGGTAAATTAGAACAACCATGACTCTTAGGAACTATGTTTGACTGAATTGTAGGAAATCTACGATCTAGATTTTTATAAGCTTAGTAAATGCCATTGTTAAAGATCAAAATATCAAAGGAGAAAAGCACAGTATTTGAAGGCATAATAAGACCTGAAATAGAATGGAATGCTACCTATACACTGGGCAAAATAAAAGCCAGAGATGCTGGAATGGAAAAGTAAACAGACTAGAGAATAAAAAGCCCGAGACTGGGACTATGGTGAGAAGATGAGGGAAGCACGTCGAAACTACCATTGGTTGTTAAAAAAAATTGATTCTTTTCCCAGATAACCATGACAACGTGGCATCACCCAGATACAAGGCTATTATCTGACCAAGGGCAATTTCGGCCTCATCAACCCAATGACTTTAGAGCCTATAGAAAGCTGAAGGTTAAAAATAAAAATTCAGTAATTCTTAACCTTAATGGTGTCATAAACCGTTATGAAAACAGGGCAAAGGCCTTTGCTCCAGAGAAACACATATGCCTTTCAGTGCCGGCACCTTGTCAGCAAATAAGCTACCAGTTACCAGGCTGCTGATGCCTTCGGCTGAAGAGACCCTTGCCCTACAAGGGGACTGAGAGGTGGTGTTATTGTTTAGTTTTTTCCTCCCTAATGCAATGGTCTCTAAAGTGGGGTGCTTGCACACAGGGGGTCATGGTATCTGAGAAGAAAGCGTTAGGACTTGTAATTGTATTAACCTAGAAAAGTTGGATAAGATTTCCCAAGATTAATACACAGATTGTTATCTATCTCACCTAATGTGCCCTCACGGCCAGAGTGTCAGATGTCTGCGTGTCACTCAGGTATGAAAAGGGAAGAAATAAAAAAATTAGAAGGGGAAAAAAAGTAAGTCAAACCATCTGATGAAACAATCCCAGCGTTTACCTTCCCTGCGCCCTCCGTGCTTCAGATTCTTTTTTTTTTTTTTTTTGGAGAGTTTTTTGTTAAAGGGCTTCTGGTGCCC